CACAATGTTATAAAATTCATTATAACATGCCATGATTTGCATAACAAAAGGCATATTGTGCAAGTTGACTCTATTTGAGCATTAGATCAAATTTACCTTTCTGCTGCAAGAATTGTACATCAACTTGATAGAGAAAACCCCACCTTATAAGCTCGTTTGCCTTTTTGATGTCTTCCTCTTCGTAAGCCTCACTAGGTACGTTATTTTGGACATCCCACGCAACTAATCTTGCCATTTCTGCTTTGATAAGATCATCCGCCTGAAACACATATTATTACAAGTTTTTCAAATTTTCGTATTTTTGGAGCTCGTTTTTTTTAGCTGATTGGACAGTCAAGGTTGCGCAGATTTGTAGACTCATTCATTCCCAGATGCAAAACCCAGTAAATTGTCTCATTTCACGAATGATCAACAGTGCAAGGTGCTCAGAGGGGTCTGCACCAATTTATCAGCAGACAGCTGCACGTCATGTCGTCAGCCTATCACCAACCACCATCTCAAAACGCTTTGTCATAATGAATAAGACGTGTCCGCGCGACAACATCACCATGCAATCTGTCTATTTCAAGGCATGCTAGCACATTTATAACGCTGTGGATTAATGCGGAAATGAGGAAACCCGTCCGAAATCAAAAAAGGACGAAAAAGGCTCAGTTGAAACTGTCTTAATATGGTAGAAACTGTAGCCTGTCTAACCGTAATTAGTTTTTTCATTCTAGAAAAAAAAATCCTGCCCTAATAAGTATAAAAGCACTTAATCGGTAATAGCAAGACTTTGACAAGTTGATTGCGAACAAAAATATTGAAATAACAGTAATAACAGGTTTTTGTAATAAAAATCTTACCTTGGCCATATCCGTCCTGTTCAACGAAGGCTTGAATGCAGCATCACACACTTTGGATGGTTTAGGTAGCGAACGTTGGATAACCTGAAAAGACTTTCAAAATTACTTTCCCTACCCTGGTTATAAATCACCACATACCTGAGTCCTTGCAGCAAGTTCTCGTTGCCTCTTCAGTGCACGCTGCTTAGCTCTCGCTTCCTTTACCTCAGCGGCATCATCTACCCATTCCTCCTCTTTCTCTCCCTGCTCTTCACTTTCACCTTCTTCATTCTCAGGGGCAACAATTTCATAATCATTCCTAGGTTCGGGAAGTGAGGCAAGCGCTCTGCGTAATTCAGCTCGTGCTTCGATTCCACTCGTCGCTCCGCCTTCGTTGATACCCATTTGGTCACGGAAAGCTGGCGTGGCTCCACCTGGTCCAGGCGTGAAGGAGCCCACGGAGCTTGGCGTAGCTGAAAATAACGTAAATTCAAAGTTGCCTACAAATGATGGAAAATTCGAACCTCCAAAAGTGCTGGCAGGGGTTGCAGCAACAGCATTCAGTACAGTGTTTGGAGTAGCCTGGACTTTCGGTGTGGGCAAAATTCCAGAAAAGTCAGCTTCATGAAGTGGAGTGTTGAGACCTCCCTTGAGCGGGGTGTCTACATTTTGTAGAGCAAGAATATTTTGAACCTCCTAAAATATGTAAAGTTTGAGTAAAAGCGAACAGAGGTTATGATGTGAGACTGATCCAGAATGACACTGTCAAGATGACGAGGGTAGTGAAATTTGAGAGGAAGACTACTGTGGATTTAGCGAGCTGACATATGAATTGCTAGCTTATTTGCTGCAGAGATTTATATAATCGCCACAATTTTCGAGTACTGGCTAGTGCACCAAAACGTGCTAAACTGAAAAGAAATGTTTTCTAGGTTACGCGGTGCGTGAACAAGCATGTGGAACAGCGTTTGCAAGGCCAAAGTGAGCTCCATAAAATGTAATATAACAAGAAAGGGCCACGAAGTCAAAGTGGCCGATCACTATAAATTGCATACCATTACTGAGATCTTAAAACGCTGATTCCAGGACTGTTCTTGGTATTTGCTGGTCGTCTGAGAAAAGGAAGTTATGGGCATGTTTTGAGGCGAAAAAGTGGACTATGGCCTATATAAACCTGATCATCACATGCATTCTAGACGTCAAATGGAGAAATAGGATATACGACACACCGGGCAGAAGCAGTTTATTTTATGAACATCCTGACACTTATCGCTGGTCCATTCAAGGTTCGAAAAAGCTGCAACTATCGATATCACGGCCATTAGTTCTTTCAACTCAAAATGCTCATAATTTACAGAAAAAAGTTTATGACGCCCAAAGCTGAACCCTTGTTGCCCAAATTCTCAGAAACCTCCTGCAGACACACGAATTTTAGAGACGGCAATAGTTCCCATAATATGCCGCTTTTTTTGGAGCCAAGACCAAGAATAAAATTCGAAACGACCTCCGCTATTTGCAGTCCTGACCTCCCAGAAAAGCAGTAAATGTAGTACACCTTCAAAACAAAAATGCCAA